CCCTAAATGGGGAAGAGAAGAAGAAAGGCAAGGGTTGAAAAAACTACCTATTATATTCTATGTCCACTATTTGGCTTATGGATTCACTAGAAACTCAAATACCAGCATTATGCAATACACCCATGTGACAAACCTGCACATGTACCCCCTGAATCCATTATTAATTAAAAAAAGAAAAGAAAAAGAAAACTCAAACACATTAGGGGAAAAAAACAGTTTCATCTATTTTCCAAGAAAGGAATAGATGACATAATTACTAAATTGTTGAAATATTTATCAAAATGTGTTGATTCCACAGAAAGTTGGAATTATGGAATTATTTTTAAATTAAAATAAGTACTCGTCTCTTTTCAGAAGTTCTCTTTTCCCCAAATAGTCTATGAATACTGATGCTTACTCACTTCAAAGTCCTGCTTCTAAATCTCTGATAGAAGAAAACCATAATATATTTTCCAGCCACTAACACTCTTTTTGTTGTTATTGTTTTTACAGCCATAGATACTATCCTTGTTAAAACATTATCTCCCAAGGCTACTTATATTCTCTGTCTGATATATCTCCCAGATGGGTCTTTAATGTTTCAACTGTACACTTAATATGACATAAAATTTATTCTAAAGTACACTCTTTCAGGATGAGTAGGTGGGGCTGTGGGAGTTGGAGAGAGTGAATTACTTCCAGCTGCACTCACATGCTAGTATTCTAGAAACAGATATCCAGATAATATCCACAGCCATCTAGATCCTAAAGTGGAGACCAGGTTATCAGTTCAGATTTCAACTGTGATATAATGGTTAAGAGCTAAAACCCTGGGGGCAAAACCGCTGATGCTGATGAGTCTTTATCTTGATAGCTGTGTGATTTGGTGGAAGTTACATAATCATAGAGAGATTAGTTTAGTTTGGCTTAGTTTCTTCAGCTCTAAAATTAGGATATTAAGAGTCCTCATAGGGTCAATGGGAGTATTAAACTAGTTTATTATGAAAGAATTTAGAACAGTGCCTTATACATAGAAATGCCATGTAAATATTAGGTTTTAATCACTGTGAATTTTCCCTGGGTGGCCTTTGGTATGTTTCTTAATCTGTTTAAAATGTTCAACATGTAAATCCCTTTCCTCTCAGGAAGATACTTGTTCACTCTGAAATTTTTCTTAACTCTTCTGAGCTCTGCAATCCAATGTATTTCTGATGTGGTAACTTCTGTCTAGACACTAAGGTTCAATTTTTATTTTTATTTCACTTATTTATTTATTTGTCCAATTTAGAAGGTTCTGAAAGCTGCCTGTCAAAGATTCTTCTGAAAACAAACTTGCTGACTCCAAGTTGACGATTTTTAAAAAGCAGTTTCTCTAACAAATGTTCACCTAGAGCGGTACACAGCTACCTGAGACATTTTACAACATGGACATGTTTCAATACATGTTCTTAGTCAGCTCTTCATAAAAGCTGAAAGTGAACATTAGTGAAAACAGTGAGCTACAAACAAAGAGAGAGGGTCAACTATCTTCTTTTCAGAGGCAGATCAGAAAGATGCCAGAATTTTTGTACAAAGCATCTCAACCCTGCTCCAGCATTTGGAAAATCGCTCTATTGAGACTGGAAAACATAATTTAATTTATAATTATCGATCACGTGAACTATTAAAGAACCTCACAATAATACCTTTCAAATGCCCAACATTGAGCTCAGGAGATTTTGAAGTAAACATTGTAAATTTATCTATTAGATATGATTATTTAGTGCTATTAATTTAATATTACAGGTTGTGAACCAGATTTAGCAAAATTTACCATTCTTATATTCAGTGACTAAAAATTTTAGTGATTTCTTATGTCAAATATTATGATTAAAGTTAATGATCAGAAGAATATTTCCCTTCTTTTTCAGGTATTCCATTTATTATAAGTTTTATAATTAAGTATGTGTCAAGAAAAAAATGACTGCTAATATACCACTCAGCGAAATGTATATTGTCTCTTCTGCCAGCTTCCAAAACCAATCTCACCTGCACAGATCATTTTACAATGTTTTGCTCATCTAAACACAATCCATTTTTCCTTTCATATAAACATGTAAACCTTGGTAGTTCTACAATATCCAGAGCTGTAAAGAATTTTATGCAGAAATGAAACAAAAACTATATATTGAACAGTATTCATCATCACTTATGTGCATTTTTATCTTCTTTGATCTTGTTTTTTTTTAATGTCAACTTTATTCTAAAAAAGTGAAACCCAACACTTATGAACTAATAGCAGTTTTGTTACTTTATTGCATGGAATCCTAAAACAAACAACTAAAAATCTGATAGCTGTAAGAGACAGGAGTTGCAAACACATGGATAATTATCTCAGCATGGTATAGTTTCCCCTAAATGCATTTAGAATATCTGATTCCTTTAAATGGCAGGAGAAAAGATGGCATCTTTCACTTCATATCTGGATGATTAGTCTTATGTAGACACAGTCTGATTTCTAGCTTTGCTATTCACAATATAAAGAGGATACATACACTTTCAGTGTAGCTAACATGAGTATTTTTAAAAGTCATATCCACTTTCACTATGAAAGGCTATTAAATACCCATGTTCAATCTCTCTGTGCCATCATCATCAACTACCACTTATGGAGCACCCACGGGTACTGTGCTAGACAACAAAGGGACATTTTAAATCCTTCTTAAGTTTCAGTTAATCTGCACAGATTTATTCCAACGACAGGTACACTAAAGCACTTCTGTGAAAAAATACAATTTACCATTTCTTAGTGCTTATTGTAACAAAGAAAATGTCTTTTTGTTGTTGCTGGTTTTTTTTTTTTAAATCAACCCATTCAGAAACAACTGAGGAAGAACTAGAAGCAATAATTGCCATTCCATAGCTCTTCTTACATTCAATGCTTCTGATCACTTCTGTGTGTGTGTGTTGTGTGTGTGGTTTTTTTTTTTTTTTTTTGAGGCGGAGTCTCTGCACCTGTTGGCCAGGCGCCTGGAGTGGCAGTGGCGCGACATTGCGCTCACTAAATACCGGCTCTGCCTCTCGGATTCAGGTGTTTCTCCGGGCTCAGCCTCACGCAGCAGCTGAGACTACAAAAGTTTGCTACCGTCTGTGACATATCCTTTCTTTGCGACGCCTCGGGCACCTTAAAAAAGAAAAATGCTATTCTGGGTGGAGTCTATTTGCTGGTTATAGCAATACGTGTATAGAAAACTATTACCGAACACATTCAGCGTCCGGAGTTTCAATCGCGTTTTGGTGTGATTTATAAAGTGATCCTCTAGGTGTATTAGTCAGATCCTCTCTGCCATACTTCTCCTGCCTTCCAAATGTGCCATTTTCAACTGGCATACCTGCCGTGAGGCCTCCTCCTTTCAACGCAGAAGGAGAGGTGCTGTATTACGTCACCATTCTCTCTCAAATCTTATATTAACAAATTTGACAATACAACAAACTAATCCAACTAGCCTGAGGGAAACGTATTGAGAGCAGAAAGCTCTTAAAAGAAAAAAATAAATGTTTCCAAACTTCTTACATTCGAACAGTGAATTTACATTCAACCTGTGGATTTACAGCCTCACTGTGGAACTGTAAATTGTTTTTGTTGCCTAGATGAAAGTCATTATCATCAAATCACAAAAATATGTACTTTGCAGTTTTTTGGGTAAATTAAGAATGCATGGCCGGGCTGCGGGTGGCTCAAGGCCTGTAAATCGCCAGCACTTTGGGAGCGCCGAGAGCGGGCGATCACGGGAGGTTCAGAAGATTCGAGACCATGCCTGGCTAACCAGTGAATACCCCGTCTCTACCTAAAAAAATACAAAAAACTAGCCGGGCGACGTTGGCGGGTGCCGCTGTAGTCCCAGCTACTCGGGAGGCTGAGGGCAGGAGAATGGCGGGAATCCGGGGACGGCGGAGCTTGCAGTGAGCCTGAGATCCTCAGCGCCACGCAACTCCAGCCTGGGCGAATCAGACCGCGACGACTCCATGCTCTCCAAAAAAAGGAAAGGGAATGCATTATGATTAGTTTTCTGAAGAACATGAATATGTGGAATTCAAATAAGTTAACTCACACATTTTAAACTATTTTTGAAATGTATCTTCTTGGTTAGTATGACTTTTATTGACAAATTATAGATTTTAAAACAGTATTATAATTGTTTTATACACTGTGAAATCGTTAAATCAAGATAAATGACGTATGCCTCACCTCAAATGTTTAATAATTTTGTGATACAAATTTTTGAAATTTATTCTCAGTGAAATGGAAATGTTCAATACTCAATTATTAGGTATATTCACCAAGGTGTGGGATTGATCTCAAAAGAAAAGAAAAAAAATATCAAACATTTCTCCTAAGAATTTTCACCCTTCAGCTATCATCTTCCCATTATCCCTATCTTCCTAACCTCTGGTAACCACCTTTCTACTCTCTGCTTTCATGAGCTTTAGATGCCACAGGCAAGCCAAAACATACAGTGTTTGTCTTATTTCACTTATCAATATTTTTTCAAATGACAGAATTTCTTTTTAAGGCTGAATAGTATTCCATTGTGTATATATATGAGGTTTTTTTTTTTCCATTCATTTCTTGATGAACATTTAGGTTGAATTCATAACATGGATATTGTGAATAGTGCTGCCATGAACACAGGGGTGCAGATATATCTGACTTGTGTATTTTGTTCTATCAAGAAAGTTAACAATAGATTCAAGAAACAAACATAGATCCTATGTTTGAACTATATTGCCATTAATTTAGACAAAATAAATTTGCTGAGACATTTAGAGAATTATTATAAATCTCCATCATAATAAAAAGACAGAAATAAAAGAAACATCATAACATATGTTTAGTCAGGCATATCTACAAGTCACCAATATCCTGTTTTCTTGTGTTTAAAAGAACCCAAGATATTTGTATTTCCTCACCTTCTTGAAGTTAAACATAAGCATTTGACCTCCAGTGGGTAATGATATAATCAGAAATGTGTATCACTTACATTTGGAAGCATTTAGTTGGCATCCAGTTCTCCAGTCTGCTCTCCTTCTCCTGTGATAAAAGCAGAAGTACTGTTGATGTGGAAACACAACCCCCAGCTGCCCATGGAAAATTGCATAGACTTGCAGTGGACATTGCTTGAGGAAAAAACAAATGTGGTTGTTTTAAGCCACTGAAATTGTCGAGTTTGTTTTTAAGGCATAATCAAGCTATTCTGATAGAATTAGTACATTTAATAATTATAAGTCAAATTGCATATTCTTAACATGAAATATTTATTTATTATAGTTTGTTTTTCACCTGACAATGATGGAAAGTAAATGTAGGATATCAAAAGTGAATATTTTAATTTAGGGTAGTAATTCTATATTTACGTTATTTTCTTTGCCAATAACATCTTTGAATTTGTACTCCAACTGTTTAGCTTGACAGATAATAAAAGAGAAAGAGGAGACACAGAGAGAGAGAGAGAGAGACAGAGAATGAATGTCTTATTTGCCTGTTGCTATCATTCTGTACTTTCTTTAAGATATAACTCAAGCTACTTTTCCCCATGATTCTTCCACTCCATAAGTAATTTTATTTTGCCTTTTGCTCCCATAGCACATTGTTAAATCTTTATTTTTTCAATTTTACAGACGTTTGGATTTGCTTGTGGCTTGGTTTTCTGATACTTTCCAAACTTGCCACAGGTATTATAAAAAAAGAAACCACCC